ATGTATACTGAATAATTTCTCATATAGATATTTTTGAATATATTTCATGATTGCATTACTAATTGTCTGATGCATTAAAATATTTCATGTGAAGAATCTTCATATGTTTCAGGATCTTGATATTATATCTATCTTTCATTTCTTGAATGAAATGACATATATACAATGGTTTGTAAAAAAATTTGGAACAATTAGTCAACACAAAGATTTAATATTTCCTAGCTTTTTTGGAGGGCATCTTTTGTTGTTATCGTAGATTTATGTTTAGTAGGTTATCTACTTAACATATTCATTTACTTTATCTATTTGTGTTGTTTCGTTATGAGAGCAGAGTTCGATATAGTAAAGCCAAACAATACGAAAAAATAGCATATTTCTCTATTATATTATTGAAATAAAGGAATTCGTTCAGCCAGAAAAAAACCATCAGGCTACAAACACACCTTTGCCTACAATTATCTATCAGTTGAGACAGCTCAGGTACCAAAGTTCTTTAAAGTATCGAACGGATAAATTATGGATAATCGTAAGATTGATACTACATACAGTCGAGTACGAGATCAGTTCATTACGTAAAATTACAAAGTCACGATCGATGAATCGACTGAAAGTCACAAAACTAATGTCTCTTAACTGTTTCATAATATGTCAATCATTTTCGGTTCCATTCGAATTCGTGCTAATTGATGACCAGTCTAAAATATGAGAAATACTCGTCGTCACTACTATTTCTCATATTTTAGATTGGTTACTCAACAACCCGGATATTAATCCCATTGAAAATGTTTGGAATGTGTGAAACATAGAGTGGGGAAAAGAAAATTAAAAAATAGAAGTAAACTGAAGACTTTTTACAAACTAAAAATGAACTCATATGAAAAAATAAGTTGTAATTAGTTTGACAAATCGCATAAAAAAAAGATGCAATTAAGTTTTTGAAGTAAAAGAAGAGAGAACAAAATATTGAACGGGATGTTGTTAAACTATGAACTATTGTGTATGAAATAACGAAACATTTTTTTTCAAGGCGATTAATTCAGGCGCTAATATAAGCCAAGTGTTTGTTCCAAGTTTTTTTGCAAACCATTGTATATTATATAATCAGAGATAATCAACATCTTTGATATCTTTTATTTTTTTCTGGACCACATATTGCGTATAGCTTTTCTCTATGAAATTGATATCTAATGGACCTGCATATGACAAAAACAAGAGTACAATCGTCTACGGTGATGCTGTTCTTTGATATGATCGTCATAATAAGAATAAAATTATTATTTTGTATATTGAATATATATTAACAGCTGGTTCAGAATGTTAATTCTTGCATAAAATGATCCACAGGTTCTGAAAGAGTCTATCGAACCTCCTACGTTGAGAAAAAAAGCAGCGAACATATAACAAGAGGAGAAAAAAGAAAAAAAAATAGTATTGCTTATCAACAGTACTTGAGTTTTTTTTCATTTGCATTGAACACAAACAGTTTGAATGTGTTTTTCTTTTTCATTGTAACTGAACATTTATAGCAAAAAATGTTAAGTGATAGCAATAGTTCTTACGAGGACTCAACGGCATTAACTTCTGAAATCATCATTCCTCGTCTAATTCGTTTTTGGATTATTCTTCCCTTATACATTCCATCAGTGATCTGTTCATTGTTTGTTTTGTATAATTTTATTGTCCATCGGAAATTACGTCAAGCTTTTCATAATCATGTTATTACTCTTCTTGTTTTCATTAATTTTATTGTTCAACTAACAAGTATTCCATGGCTTCTTAATTATTATCGTTTAGGAAATGTTTGGCCACAAAACTCTATCTTTTGTCTTACATGGACTTTTATTGATGAAGCTTTATATATAATAACAACAATTCTATTTTCTTGGGCAACTATTGAGCGGCATATTCTTATTTTTCATGATCACTTACTATCAACCAAATATAAATTAATTTTCTTTCATTATTTACCAGTAGTTACAATTTTTCTCTATGGCATGTGTTACAATATTATTGTAATTATTTTTCCACCATGTGAAAATACCTATGATTATTCTCAACTTACATGTGGTGATCCCCTTTGTTATTATGAATTTGACTCAGTAGCAATGTGGGATGTTATAGTTAATGATTTAATACCTACAATAGTTATTATTTACTGCAGTATTGCTCTTCTATTACGTGTCATCTGTCAAAAATTTCGCATGCATCGAACAATTCGTTGGCGAAATCATCGAAAGATGACGATTCAAGTATTAGCAATTTCACTTCTGTATCTTTTCATATACGTACCAACACTGTTATTAGAATTTATTCATCGTTGTGGCGTTTCTGAAGAAGTTGGTGCCAACTTTATGTTATATGCAGAATTCTTTAAGTATTATGGCAATCTTTTATTACCTTTTATATGTGCTGTATCAATGCCTGAACTCAACAAACACATTAACAAAATATTTTCATATTGCCGACGACAAACACAAGCAGTTGGCCCTCAACCATTGACATTAGCACGTCATGTAGTTGGTCCACCATTAATAGTCAGAGTTATTGTTTCATGATTATTGTTGTGTTGTCTAATTCATAGAACCTATAGCATATTTTCAGAGCATTTTTATTAATAAAATGAGTAATAATAATCATAAAATGATTTAAAAGAGTGTCGATATGACATAGTCTGTTCTACAATATATGCCCACTAGGATTTTTCTATTTTTTTTTGCAGATAATATAATCAAGTCCACGGACAAATTTTCTGCCCTGGTTACTATCACAAGTTACAGAATCGAACATTGTTGACGTCCTCTCTGCTATATCTGACGATAAAAGCAGAAAAAAAACATGCTCAGTCGGTTCCTGTCATATCTCGTTCAGTTAAAATCAGATGCAATGCAACCGTAGGAGAAACTTGAAGATGAAGTATCATACTGGTATTATAAAAGAGAAGACTAATTACTATGTAAAGGACAAATATCATGCTGCGTCTGCAATGAACTCGCATTTCTCGCATATGTCTATCACACTCTGTGATAGTTATTAACATGTCTGTCGAGTTATTTTCGGTTGTTTATGAAAGCATTCAATTGGAACAAAAAACTCAGTCAGTGTTGGCCTTCATCAAAAATAAATTTGAAAAACCAGAATTTAAGTTACTATGATATGGAAATTATAGTTAAAAAAAGTAATCATCAACAAACAATGTACAAACGTTCTTTTTATTATCAAATAAAACTACATCAAAAGTCCATCAATCTTATAGCTACATCATTGGTTAATAATACAACATTAGAAATAGGGTGGCTTTATAACAATCATAGATCTGAGAAAGGTATTTATGCGACCACTAGGTCTGGTCAACAATGATCAAACACACAAAGGTGCCTAGTATCTACATGAAATGCTAAAGAAAAATATTTGATTAAGTTTATTCAGATTCGATGAACATAAAATCGGTGATCAAGCAATCGTATTGTTCACTAATTCTATCACTCATTAGAACAATGCTCTTCAAGCATTCAGATGCGTGTGTTGAATTTTCGTTCAGTCATACACTCCCACAAGAATCGCAAAGTACTGCTTTTACATAATTGCCCAGCATGATCCTCGAATTCGTTTGATATGACTCGAAAAGATCCAAAGTCGAAATTGACTTATTCATCATTCAAATTCATTTTTATTTTGAGTCGGTGGTATGAGACTTCTATTTGTATTGCTGTTTGGTTCAATCTAACTTCGCTTTCATTGCGTATTCACTAGGATTTTTTTTGCTAGACACGAACAATACCTACAGTGGAATAAACGATCATAGGTATCCTATATACGTTTCATATACAATCTCTGTTTTTCTTCGTATACGAGTACGAAAATTTACGATCGTAATATTAACTCAGGTAAAACAGTCAGATACGGTCGTATATGGAGTGTATATCGCCTCTATATGGCCGTTTGAGATCGTTTACCTCCTCTGTATTTATCGTCCTGTTAAATGATCCACCATATCTACGTAGTTAAGTGGTTTATTGTTACTCGTATCGTTTGCAGAGAGTTGTGCGTTGATAAAGGAATACAGCTTCATACCTCATACACACATCATTGGAATAGAAATTTGAATCAACATGAATGTGTGACAAACAAGCAAGCTGCGCAGATTTGCTATATACTATACACGCAGAGTTTTTATTCATATCATCACTGTGAAACAATTTTTCGCTTTGCCGACTCTTTATTTTCTTGGCATATTCAGTTCGTTGTCTCATTAGCACATTGAATATTTTAAATTAGAAAAACACAGTCAGATATTTTTCTTTTGCTTTCTTAGCTATATTTCATGCATTGCTCAAGAAATACATAGATGGATGCACAAGACAATACCTTAATCACAGCACTACACAAAAGTGAGCAGTAAGAATACAATGCATCTTGTCTTGCTCGCGCTTTTCTATATTTTTTCATGTATACAACTAGGAATTCGACTGTATTAAATTCAATCTATCCATGGCTACGATTGCCACCGACACCGAAACTTCCTCTTCCACATGCTGGCCAATATGCACTTGTCAATGGTATCCGTATATGGTACACGATTTATGGACCAGCTGATGGCATCCCCATTCTTTTCCTTCATGGTGGCTTTGCTAATAGTGATTATTGGGGTTTACAAGTTAAACAACTTCAATCTACTTACAAGTGTATTCTGATGGACTCTCGAGGCCAAGGTCGAAGTCCATCGTCAGCTACCAATATAACCTATGATCTTATGACTTCGGATGTTATCGGTCTGCTGGATTATTTAGATATCACTCGAATCCATCTGGTTGGCTGGAGTGATGGAGCAATTATTGGTCTAAACATGGCAATGAAATATCCTCGCAGATTAATTTCCTTATTTGCATTTGCAGCAAACTATGACTCTTCTGGTGCAAAAGACATTTTAGCCTCACCTGTCTTCCCTGCTTATCTCACACGTAGTAAATCCGAATATGAACAAATGAGTCCAGTTAACAACTATCAGGATTTATACAATAATTTAACAACAATGTGGTCCACTCTTCCAAATTGGTCAAAAACAGATTTTGACAAGATTCCTCATAATTTACCTGTGTTGATCGTTGATGCCGATCACGAAGAAGTCATAAATAGAGAACAAACAGACATGATGGCCACTTGGATTCAACAAGCAGGAGAAATGATCCTACCAAAAACGAGCCATTTCGCGTTCATTCAAGATCCGGAAAGTTTTACCGCAGCTATGACTAGATTCTTGACTGAAACACAGCATTTGTAAACAGTATCGCATAATCAAACATCGCCATCGTGCGCCTATTAAATATGGACATCGTTCGTACGTAGCCTGAGACAACAGAATATTTCATACTAACGCTATCAGTAACTGTAACGATTCGAGTAGCGCAACTTTTTAAACGCCAGAACTAAATCCCATTTTAATTTTAGAATTTCTCAATTTCAAATATATCTCATGTGACGGAGCTTACAATAGACTCTATCGGTGTTTGATAGGTGATTGACATTGATATTCAATTAGGTTATTGAATATCTTTCAGAACACATATACTAAGTACAGAAATCATTTTTTAGGTGAAAAGTATGATTTATTAAATATTGTCTTGGTATAATGTCATCATTTATCCTAAGAGGAAAACGTCAAGACGCACATGACTTTATTCTATATTATTAAAAAGATGATGAAATTTTACTAACACATTTGCTTTCTTTAAATAGTTGTGATGTTGTTATTGTAAAAGAAATCATTAATCAATTATGGACATCTTATAAAACAGTTAATCGACTTTATTCAAGTGTTAATTCTCATCGTCATAATTCTAATATTCCAATAATTGAAATAACACATAATGAAAATAATAATAACGAGTTTCATAGACAAAGAATATCTGACATTCTACTATCAATATTATCAATAAATAAAAAGGATCATTATTTGAAAAATGAAAACTTCGAAAATAAATATCTATAAAAACACAAATGTTTAAAAAAATAAAAATAAATTTCTTTTTATGTTTCTCTGTCATATTTGTATTATTTCAAATTATATTGCAACTTCAGAAAGATTAAAATTTTCTACTTATGCAACTTCCTTTGACGCTCATTATACGTTGGCTCCATCTCCTGTTGTATTTTTCTTTTCTTATGTTTAAATTCAATGATGTATGCTTTACTTTCTGAATAAGTCAACAAAGAAATGATATCAACTTCTATTCATGCTTAACTATTTCATTCAGACAAGATCATCTGGACTTTAATGAGATTGATGGTTATATCATACATATATTATATAAAATCAAAATATGTCCTTACAATATCTAAGTATATGTAAATACGATGCATGATATAAAATGCCTCGAAAATAGATAATGGTAAAATCATTTTACAGAAAGACTGATAACTTCTTTTCTACGCGTTGTTCTCGTCATCAAGTTTTTACACGTCCACAGTAATCTAAAGTCCGTTACATTTGTCTTATCAATTGCGGTTTGCACGCATCCAACGCATGACAGTCATAACAATGGTCGCGTTCGGGTCGTTCGTTGAGTCTGACTTCATAACAATGAATGTAAGAGATAAATTCACTTTATTATTCTAATTGATTCTTTTTCACAATATTTCTGATGAGGATACTATTTAACAGTTATTTTAATCTATCATCTAATTATCTTCATTTATATATCCTTTTTAAAAAATATTACTACTGCTGTTTAATCTTCAATAATAAAGTTTATTACAACAAATATATGCGATGTTGACATCGTTTATCTATTTACACTTTCATTTTTTTTTTTGTTCTCCACTTAAATTTTTCTCTTTAAATATACAAGATGCAACGAAAAACAGACCAGTAGGTCACTGGATCTTTTTTTTCTAAACTTTTTCATGATCTTTTATACACATCACAATAGTCTTCAATTATTTAAATATTTTATTAGTTTTATACTCTTACCATGTTCGACTGAATTTGATTGTTTTTCATGTGCAAGAGTTAGAAGATCAACATAATTTGTCTCTTCAGATGAATATATCTCTATTACGTTCCATCGTAAATCCTTTGCACTAGTTCTTGCGATTACGCCGAAAATATCTTATTCTTTACTACTTAAAAACGCAATAGAAAAAAAAAATTATTTTCTATCTTTAGATTTTTTTATAATTTACAATGTCAACTCTATTTGGTAATCCATATTTTTCTTTAAATGGAGATATTAATCAAACAAATGGATTTATTAATTCAAAAACTCTTCCTATATCAAGTCGTAGTAATATGAAACATGCACATCGTATTATAGTTAAACTTGGTACAGCATTAATAACACGTGAAAATGAAGATGGTCTTGCCATTGGACGTTTAGCATCAATTGTTGAACAAGTATCACAATTACAAAATGAAGGTCGGCAAATGTTATTAGTAACAAGTGGTGCTGTTGCATTTGGTCGACAAGTTCTTCGAAAAGAAGCTATGATGACAATGACAATGAGAAAATCTCTTTCACCAAAAGATATTTTAGAAAATAGTCGTGTAGCAATACAAAGACAAGCATGTGCTGCTTTTGGACAAAAAGGCCTTATGTCATTCTATGACCGTATGTTTCATCAATATAATATTGGTGTTGCACAAGTACTTGTGACAAAAAGTGATTTTTATAATATTGAAAGTAGAAAAAATTTACAAGCTACACTTGATGAATTACTTAATTTAAATATAATACCTATATTAAATACAAATGATGCTGTTGCACCATGTATAGATACAGATGCTGAAGTCACAGCAGCAAAAGATGATATTGTTATTAATGATAATGATTCATTAGCAGCACGTTTAGCTGTTTTAATATCGGCTGATCTATTATTAATAATGAGTGACGTTAATGGATTATATACAGAACCTCCACCATTAGAAGGATCAAGATTATTATATACATTTTGTCCAAAACAAGATTTACAATTAATTTCATTCGGACCAAGATCAAAAGTTGGAACAGGAGGAATGGAATCAAAAGTAAGAAAAACTTTTCTTTTTGTGTTTGTTCAAGATACAGTCACACTCAAAATTGATCATACATCATACACAAAGACATAATTGAAAACGCTTAAATGCAAAGTTTAATTCGCTGTCCTTTTGGTCTCTTGAGTAAAACAATCGATCAAACGTCGTTTGAATAATTGCCTAGAGCATCATAGTTTTACAAAAACAATTATAGCCAAATGAATTATTTTTCTTATGCTTTTGATGTCAATTATCAAATTCTTTTTTTTTTTCTAGGTTAAATGTGCATCATGGGCACTTGATCATAATGTTGCTGTGGTAATAAGTAATGGCCAAATAGATAAAGCAATATTACATATTATTGACGGAAAAAAAATTGGAACATTTTTTACAAATGCACCAGCAGAAAAAATACCAGTTGATGTTCAAGCTCTTAAAGGTAATTATTTTTTTGTTGGTTTGATAGAAAAGTTTTAAATGAATTCATATTCATTTAGTTCGTGATGGTAGTCGACTATTACAAAGATTAACAGCAGAACAACGAAAAACAATTATTAATAAAATGGCATCAAATTTAATTGAATATTCAAAAGATATTCTTCAAGCAAATAAACAGGATCTAGAAGAAGCAATAAAAGAAGGTACATATGAGTGAAATGTCAAAAATAAACAAACAAAATTTTAGCTCTTATTTTTCGATATCTTTATATATTAATATCTTACTTTAGGTCTTAAAACATCATTACTTAATCGACTTGGTCTATCAGAAAAAAAATTAGAAACTTTATCAATTGGTCTTCGACAAATAGCTGAAAAAACTGATATACTCGGTTCGTTTAAGTTCACTTATTTATCATCTATTATCATCAACATCATTTGAGAGCTGAGGATTCAAAGTTTTCGGCCCTTGCTTGCATTAATTCCTATACAAAAAAAAAGAATCTTAATTTTGATGTTGGCACGAATGAGAATGTAATCTTGATGTAGAAGGAATTCCCACCCTGGAAACTAAGTCGTCTTGCACAACAGTAAGGAATGTAGGAACTAATTTAAGAAATAAGACATTTTATTAGGGTAGGTAGGGACCGAAATTTTTTTAAACTGCACTTGGTCTAAAAAGATCTTTGTCGTTTTAATCGACAATACAATAGTAGCAAGTTATAAGTCCTAAAATAAAACGTATATTAGGTTGCGAACAGACTTTGTTAAATATTCTAGGAGAAGTTATTCGCCGAACACGTCTAGCTGATGGAGTCATGTTAAAACAAATAACAGTACCAATTGGTGTTCTTCTTGTTATATTTGAATCCCGACCAGATAGTTTACCACAAATAGTTGCTTTATCAATATGTTCAGGAAATGGTATTTTATTAAAAGGTGGTTCAGAAGCGAAATACTCAAATGAAATATTAACAAAATTAATGCAAGATGCATTAGAACCATTTGTTCCTCGTGATACTATTGCTTTAGTAATTTAAATTTCTTCTTTTGAAAATATAGAACTTTTTTTTTTTTCTAGATCAATACACGTGAACAAGTAGCTGATCTTCTTCAGTTAGGAAAATATATTGATCTTGTTATTCCACGTGGTTCTAATGAACTTGTTCGTTCTGTACAAAAACAAAGTGTAGAAATACCTGTCTTAGGTCATGCAGAAGGTATTTGTCATGTATTTATTGATAAAGATGCAGATTTAGATATGGCCTTACGTATTGGTAAAATATAAAATTTATATTAGATATTTTTCGAATATTTTTTTTTTACTACGATATCATAGTTCGAGATTCAAAATGTGATTATCCAAGTGCATGTAATGCCATGGAAACATTACTTGTACATAAAGATCTTATTCGAACATCATTTTTTGAATCACTCATTGATTTATTTCGTACTGAAAAGGTAAATTAGTAATTCAACAACGAATTGAGGATTTTTCTTTTCTTTTTGTGTTCAGGTTAAAGTTTATTCAGGTCCACGTCTTTCTGCATTACTTCCATTTCCACCACCGCCAGCAGATTCATTACGTGTTGAATACGGTGATTTACAATGTTGTATGGAAGTAGTAGATGATGTTAATGATGCTATTGAACATATTAATAAATATAGTTCAAATCATACAGATTCAATTGTAACAGAAAATGGTACGTAATTATGTAATTGTATAGGTAACAGAAGAATGCTAAGGATTTTGTTTTTTTTTAGAAACTTCAGCTAATGAATTCCTTGCTAATGTTGATAGTGCATGTGTTTTTCATAATGTTAGTACAAGA